CTGGGACTAAGACTTATACCTCCCCAATTTAAAGAAGTATATTCACACACATTATAGATGTCAGTACAGAAAGACACATATATCATTTTACACTTGCCTTTTTTCCCATTATTAGGTAAGCTTGATGTTTCTTCCCCATTGTCTTTAACATTGAAACCAGACAATAATTAATAATTAAAGTCATTATCAATCAAAACAAAAAGCACTCCAAAAAGAATGAACCATGCACTACAGAAATAGATACATGCATTAACATGACACCCCACACAGCACACATTGGAGTACGGTATATGCAGCATATGTTCCCTGCTCTATGGGAAAGGCACCAAAGTAACCAGACAAACAAAGGCCTTTTGGACTATAGTGATGTGCTGGGTAGTTTTTCCTTTGTTTTTCTATGATACTACATAATGTACATTACTAATTTCTTAAGAATGGGTCACAGGTGACCAGCTGGAGTTTTTAATGTAATTATTCTTTATGTTAAGGCACCAAACAAAAGCGATACTGGTATGCAGAAGTCATCAAGTAGTCTAAAATTATCATGGAAGCCAAATCATGACATGTGAGACTCAGGACATGAGTGAATCAGTGTGAGATATGAAGGACAGGAAAACAGAAACATAGCTCCTCAGCCTGATGAAAATGAAAGTTATTCTATAGCAGTCCACAAAATTATAATTCCATTCATCCAGGAAAATAAAAGGCAATTGAAATTCTAGTGTTGATAATATTTGATATTCAGAATGGAATACAATTATTCTTTTCTTTAACCAAACAATTAAGATCACCTTTTTTTCCCCATTGTTAGGTACATACTGATAATTTCTCTACTTGTAAATTATGATGTTCCTGGTTATTAGCAGCAAAATATAATGTCCTTTTGTTTTAACAACTACAAATTAGGTTCAGAGAATGCATCCATGAAAATATGAATGGACACAGTATACATAAGGACATTGTTTTCTTACAATGATAAAAAGAAGGGGGACAGAAGGTCTAACCTTAAAAGTCATAAATAAATTCATATATTAAAAAAAAGATCAGCTAAACACTTAACAAAAATAGGCTTAAAATTATTCTGCAGTTTTCACAGAGAGCTAAAATTCAAGACAGTTTAAAAAAGATTAGGCTCCACCTCAGAGGTTCAAATAAATATAGGGATAATTCAATAAAATTACATAAGTGTATTTGTGAGTGTATAATATTTTACTTTGACAGACACTGATAAAAACACCCAATTAGATTGTGATTACAAAACTGAAGGAGTGAAAGCCTGCATGGCCTCCAGAAGTCAGGTACCACAGAGAGGAATGTCAGACACCACAGAGAGAGAGAGAAACGGCTGGTACACAGGATACAGCAATACTGAGTTCAGACAGAGATGGAAAATCCAGAGAAGATTACTTCTTATTTAGAAAATGATATAGTGGGAACATGTTCATAGTTTATTAAATGTTATGGAAATCTGTTCTGTATGATCTTAAAATTTCCCTCTCTTATCCTTTTTGAATCCCTTCGGCCAGAAGCTGGAGTTCTCTTTATACAGGGAGGCATAAGGGAAATAGTTTTCCAGTAGCTAGCTCATGAAGGTTAGTTATTAAAAAGTAAAGAAAGAACATGAATGTAAATGAATGAGCTAGGAAAATGATGTATATATTTAGACTAAAGACATTCTCGATAATTTTAGTTTGTTTTGATCATAAAAGGACAATATTCAAATAATTGACTAAATTAAATACTCTGACATTAGCTTACTAGCAGACAGACAATCAGACAGACCTGCCTTGACCTTGTCTCCCTCCTTTTCTACCCCCTCTTCTTCCACATGCCCAATTTCTTCAGTAACTTCTGGATTTGCAGAAGTAGGAGAAAAAGATAAGTCCATGAATCTGGTTGTTAATTTTAAAATATAACAAGCAAACAAATCATTGTTAATGAAATAATAGGTGCTTATACAAAGAAAAGTAGATTACATGTTGCATTTCTGACATGCTTTTGAAAGCAAATCTGTTTACTGTTAATGAATCATCACAGTTGGCAGTGGTACTGACTTGGAAAATAGAAACTGTGATTTCCCCCAGATATTTAAGATACGTGGGTAACTAAACAGGGGAGGCACAGTAATGTAGTAGGTATATTATTAGGAAAACTTTACATCAATTTTCTTCTAGGAAGAAAACCATGATACTATAAACCCCAATTTTTATACACTCGTAATAATTGCAGTTAATATTTAAGAAAATAATAGTAATAATGCTTTATGGTGGCTGAGTACATTGTACTTTCTATATTATTAAAATTTGGAGGTTTTTGGCAAAGAGTATGAAACTAGAAATTTCAAGATCAGAATATATGTGTTAAATTAATTTAGATACTAGAGAATATAAAATAATTATTCAAAACCATTGAGTCAAATTATAGTTTGCTCATGTTTTAGTTACTAAAGGTAGAGTAAATAATTCAATGTGTTTACACCAGAACTGCTGTCAAATGACAAGATCTGTCAACCATGCAGCAGAAGGTTGCACACTAAGACTCTCAGCCAGCACTCTCTCTTTATCATCAGTTAGAGGTTGAGGATCTACAGAAGAGGTAATCATTATCTCCCTTAATCCTGAAAGATTTACAGGTTCATGGATCTCTGAAACTTCAACGTGTCTGAAAATATGGCTACAATCAACCAGTATCATTAAGTAATACAAAATAAACAAAACTTCTTCCACACTGAAATGAATAAGGAGGGTTTTGGTTCCTCTATGAAATAAAAACCAGAAAACCATAATTAGAGACATGAATGAAAATTTTTAAATATTACTGGTATTAAGGCATTGCTTTCTATCTAAAACAAACAAACAAAAAACCCAAACAAACAAATAAGGAACAGTGAAGTGAGTATTCACAAATGTCTTTAAATCATTTAACCCAAATTTCCCTCCAGCAGTAAGGTTTCTTTTCTTTCATACCTAGCATTGCACAGCATGAAGCTATCTGCACCTCAGCAGACTTTAGCTATAAAGGATATTAAAACAAAAGCTTAAAAACGTGTTTGAGGAGAGAAAAGCTGCACATTATTAAACTCTCCTTATGAAATGCAATTTAAAGGCCCAGCATTTAGTTCTACGGAAATAATCAATGTTACAGCAATGCCACAGGTGTGTTTTTATCAAACAGGAAAATGAAGCTTCAGCCTCATCAGCACGGTGGTGTTTAGACTCATGGTACAGGAAAGCAGAAGCAACCATCAAGTTGGTAGTCACTCACTCACAACTGACAAGAGCACAACTTACATCAACAAGTTATCTAAGACAACAAAACAAACAAGTTTTCTATAAACATATAAACAACAACAAGTTTCTGGTGGTAACCTATATACTATTGAGGTATCATTTCAATTTATAAGACAGCATTTCATTTTCAACTCAATAAACATTTGTTCCAGTTCTACAATTGCTAGAGACTCAGCAGTTAACACAGTCAACAATTTCAAAATTCTAAAACTAGCAGATGTTTATTGTACTAGCAAATGTAAGACAGTCTACATACTATGGCTCAGGATATTTGTCTTAAGGCATAATGAAGTGTTTGATAAGAAACACATAAAATTGTCATATTCATCCTTGACATACTCCAAGCAGAGTTGCTGCAACATGAAGCAGGAAACAGGAAACACAAGCCAAAAATCACTATCTAACTCAGTAACTTCTTTTGTAGAAAGTCAAATTCGATAATAAAAAGATCATCAGAAATACAAAATGAAATAGAAGATGAGAAATATAACCAGACTATGTATATATCCTCAATGGCAAAAACACAGGCTGCAATTGATATCTCTGGTTATAGTCTCAGTCAAAAACCCAGAATTTTTTTTAAAAAAGTAAATTAAATATTTTTATAAGAACAAATATTGTCTAATTATTTAAAAGTAGCTTAAACATTTTGCACTCTAACTTGACTCAACATTTAACTCTTTGGTGTTATCTCCCAGAAAACAAAATTTGAATATTTATTTAGAAAATATAAACAGAAAAATTTAACTGTATATAAAGCCATAAAAATGAAAAGACATCAATTGCAGTTGGATTTATTTTTGCTTGCACTGTCCCAAAGGCTTTCAGCACAAAACAAACCTCCTTTATGTACCTTCATAAGGTTCTATCTCCTTGACTCCATTGTCTAGGGGAAACAAAATAAAATGAAAACAAAGAGGGGAAGAACCAAAACAGGGGTTAAAAACAACAGAAAATTTCAAAGTAACAGAATATATCATCTATTAAAGAAAACTAAGACAGTGATTTGTCTATATACATATATACATATATATATATATGTATGCATATATACACACACACACACACACATATATATATATATACATATATTTGAAAAAAGTTACTAAGTAGAGGAATTGTGACTTAAAAGACGTTGAAATTATTGTTTGTTATCCATGCTTTTGAGAGACTGTAACTGAGATTTCCAGCTGCTTGAGCCATTTGCTCAAGTGTGTCAGCGTCTCATGTAGCAGATGTATAGTTATTAAAAGCATCAGTACAACATGCATCTTTTTGTGTGCTCGGGGTTACCTTTTGCTTCCACTCCAGATTTGAGAAGGATCACCATTGTGCATCAGCTAACCAGTCCTTCGCAGTGTGTGAAAATTGATTTAGCTAGTTACTAATATACTTTGTATAATCACCAACAATTACCTAGTCTTAGATGTAGCAAAGACATTATAATCCAGCTGCTTACATAAGATTATTGCTTACTTTTAAACACACTCCAAAAAGTCTACAAAAAAAGTAAAGATTATTCCTTTTAATCTCTAAGGAAAATTTTACATGCAATATATATTATATTCACAAATATAACTACTGTCAAATGATACCATGCATATAGTTAAATACAAAAAGATTATAATACAAAGATAGTTGAAAATCTTAATTCACCTTGGCTTCCATGTGTAATTCCTACAAGGCTTAACTAGAAAACTAAAGACTTACTTCTCTCCAACGTTCCCTTTGCGGGAAGCTGTGGGAGCTGCCGGCCCCTCCGTCCTGTTACTGGAGTACTTGATGGACTTGTCTGGACAGACCCGGTACGAGGATGAGACCTACAAGATGCACCATGAATACACTTTCAGTAAGTATAAAATACAGTCAGTATGTTAGCTGGTTTACATAACGGCTTTATTAGTACAATTTTAAGTGCGGTTAGCTGCTGGTTAAAAGGAGAACAGGACAAAATACAGACATTTGAAGAGTTATGATTACTCAAACACCAAAAATGTTTATGTTTTGGTGTAATATGCATACATACACATATACATGAACAAAAAAACCCTATGGTAAAAATACATGAAATTCAAAATATAAATTACTAATCTACTCATATGAAAGCAGGTGGCAAATTCTGAACTTGAAAAATAAAAAATAAAACTTTACATTTTTCTACTATAATATAAATTCTTAAAACTAGCCTTCTTACGTTGACCTAATCATTTTTTTTACTTAAGTTTATACTAAATATCCTTTTTCTTAGAAAAAAATCATGAATCTAAAAATAAAATCCCAAGGAATTAGAAATTCAGCTAAAGATAATTCTAATACTACCTAATATTAATGCTCATGGGAACTAGATAAATTTAATTTACTATCGTGATGATTACTAGAAAGGTCATGCCTACTTTGGAAGCACATGACAGGACAGGATTTACTTAGGACTCCTGGTTAATGAGAAATCACAAAACAAATGCAGTCAAGACAGTTAGGCAAGGATTCACAATGGCAATGACACACTATCACATCCACTGAACAGAGACAGTGTGCTCACATTGACAGTTAGTATTGACTTGTACTGGTGATCGATCAGGCAAAAAATGATAGAAGAGAGTTAGCTGTTGGGAAAATAAAATGGTGTGTTGGTAGTGCAGACAGGGGAGTTAGTCTGATCAATGTATCTTTCACCTCGATAAGGCAGGTGAAGGAGGGGCAGATCTTCCAGTCATTAATGAAGGCATCGACCTCATGAGGTTTGTATCAGGACGTTCAGAGGATCTGGAGCGGGTGGTGGTCCGCTCTAGGAGAGGCCGCTGTTCTGTTGATCTGGATCTGTGATATGGCTGTCTATCTGCTGCTTCACAATCCCTGAAATGTTAGTCAAAAAGCAGCTCAGTTGATCTTTAATGCCTTTCTGCTATTTGGTCATGATGCATCAAATCGATTTTGAAAAAAAAAAAAAAAAGAATTGCTTAAAGCTTAAAATCACTGTGTATACAAAAAAAAAAGTTTTCCCAACATATTGTGAATAAATTTTGACTAAGGTTAAAAAGTTCTATAGCACTCGAATCTGATTTTATTTAATTCCCAGTAAACAAGTTGCTCAGTTATAAGCAATGCAAACCAAGCTGCGTGCTTTCCACAATGGGGAGAACGTGTGGAGAGTGTAATGTACTCTAGCTTAAAGACACTCAACAGTGTTTCCTAGTATTTTCCAGAAGAGAAAACGTTATGCAAAAAGTTTATCAGCAAACAGAGTAATATATAAAAATGTTAATACCATTATTGTAGTATACTGATAGCTTAAATATTTTAGGCACAAGATTTAAATGAGGTTACAGGAAAATAGGACAGCTTTGAAGTATGTATCCATATTCAAACACACCCCCAAACAGAAGTCACCCTGTAGAGAACTGGTAACTCCACTAGCTAGCTCAGTGCACTTCTGTGAGATTAAACTACTCAGATGGGTTTTGGATGAGATTGGAATTCCAAAAAAGAAGCAATCTCCCCAACCTGTAAAATTTAATTCTAGTAGAAGCAAGAATACTTACACCTATATGGCCAGTAATTTCCCTTGGAGCCTACCATAATGTTTATACACCTCAACATGATCATAAATGAAGTCTAATTCAATCCCATGATTGGGAAGACAAGCCTAAGAACATTAGCTTCTTCTCTAGAACTCAACAGTAACAAATGCTAAATATGTTTCAGACAGTTACCTCCTGACCAATTGCAGTCACAGTAAAGGGACAATTTATAAAGCACAGAGAGTAGAGCAACAGCAATCTCAACATCATTCCACTTTACCAAACAATGTTCTCTGATTTTCAAAAATGAAAAAAAAATGGGTGATTAGAGTACGATAAGGAAAAAGAACACAGGTTCCTCAGTATCATGAATTGTATGTATACAGTTTGTGAAAACAATTGCTATTCAAATCTGAGTTCTGGATTCATCCTCTATTGTTTTATATCTTGCTATAATACCTTAAAATCATAGAATAAAATAGAAGTAAAATAATTTTAAGAACTTTAATCTTTGAATTAAAATGTGACTGATTTTCTATGTCAAATTCAGAATTTTTGCATAACTATATCAAGAATGGGGAAGGGCTGGAGACATGACTCAGCCTAAAAGCCAGTCATGACCAAACATGTCATGATAACTGAAACTAAATATAAACTCATACACAATATTTGATTTCAGTTTTAAAAGCTGTGTAAAATGGAATGATATAAAATTCATAATAATTCAATTCTTCTGAAATTCTACTTAAGAGTAAACAGTCTTTTTTTAAAACAAATGAGGCTGATAATTTGTGGCCTGTTCTTAGTGCACTACCTCTAATATGCCTCATTTCAATAGGTCAGGAAAAACACAGGCGCATACCTATCTTTTTCTCTGTATTTCCTGCATTTCTAAAAGCCTATATTTTGAAGAAAATAAACTTTCTTTGTTTTAAAGATTTATCATGATATTAGGTTAATAATTAACTTTAATAATTAACTCCACATAGTATGTGGTGGCAAAATTTAGTGACATCAGTATTGCAACACCAACAGAATGGGGCTGCTGTCCACTTAGCTGTGGAAAGGCTGAGGGAGCTGAAGGGGATGGTAACCTGGCAGGAAGAACAACAATGTCAACTAACCTGACCCCTCAGAGCTCCCAGAGACTAAGACACCAACCAAAGAGCAAACACCGGCTGCTCCATGGCCTCCACTACATATGTAGCAGATGACTGCCTTGTCTGGCCTCAGTGGGAGAGGATGCTCTTAATCCTGTAGAAAACTGATGCCCCAGGGAAGAGGGATGCCAGTGGGCTGAGGTGAGAGTGGGTGGGGGAGACCCACTAAGGAGCAAAGGAGGGAAGCAGGTAAAGAATTTGTGGATAAGGGACCAGGAAGGGGGCAACATTTGAATGTAAATAAAGAAAATAATTATTAATAAAAAAGAATGCACAAATAACTTCCATTAGCAACAGCTATTGTGGGAAGCAATAGATAACTACTTGTAAGGTTTAACATTCTTCAAATTTAATTGGATTTCTTGAGCTATTGCTTGTATTCCAATAAAAGTATTGTTCCTAACTTATTTAACTCATTCTACTATATACTTAAAGATATTATTCTAAAAGGGATAGCCACATGTTTAACCAAACTTCTAAAAAGTACACAGCATAAACAAGAAAATTAGTAAATTGCAATATTTAGGAAATAATTCAATTCTCAGTTAAAAACTGATTTAATAATCTATTCTAGCTCCATTTTTAGTAGTTTATCATTGTAGTCAACGGTTAAAATAGTTTATATTTTTCATTTGTCACTGTATGGATTGATACAAGTGCTGTGCTACATCATGTGGAGAACTCTACTGTAAACTGAACGCAGCTGAAGAGGAAAGTGCCTAATCATTTCTCAGTTACTGACATGGAATATCAGTAGAGAATAGCTACCGTGACAATCAGTTTGAATATACAGACTCTGAGAACAGAATCAGACAGAAATAGGCTAAGATAAAGTCGTTCTGCTGAATTGAAAAAAAAAAAAGACTGTATTATTTAGAAGAATCGACCTTAGACAAAAATAGCACTATCTACAGACTCCTCTCCTCTGGTGCTAATAATGATGTGCTCCTACAGACGTAGCTGAGAGGAGGTGAGATCCTCGTAATGGAGAACGTGATCACTACTAACCGGTAACTGTGTCCTCAACCGAATGTTATCATTATGCTGAAGAGAGTTAATTTTAAATAGTCATTATTTGAAATCACAAGAACAAAAGATCAAACTTCAAATTTCCTCAAAACATCATGATACAGTATGAGATACACTTCCTGGAGGACATCTGGAAAACTTGCTAGGAATTTAGAACTTCCCTTAAGTAATTCTTATATGAAAAATAACAGAAGCAAAACTAAAATTGGCAGAACTGTTTATAAATGAGCATGCAACAAATTAAAACCTTAATATAATTTTTCCCTTTTAGCTATAAAATTCTTATTCTATGAGCTAGTTTCTAATTAAATGGTTTATTATAAATTAATGGTTTGTTGATTATAAAAATTCAAAAATCTCCAGCAGATGTTAGATGTTAGCTTTACCAGATCTTTGAAGATTACATAAAATAATATTTTAAAGGTATGACTCTAAAGAACAGAGTGTGGAGTGTTATTTATCATGAGACAAAGTGATAAAATATGATCTAATATCTTGCTACCATATCCAATCATTTCTCAATTGCAGCTTGAGAACTGCAGCAGCCTTCCCTTGAGTCTCTGTCTTTGCATGGACACTGGAATGGTGGAATGCAAGTTTCTCATAGGCCCTGCTGCTGTACTGCTCAGCAGTTTCTTCACAGTAATGTTTGCACATGACTTTTACCAATAGAAAAGTGTTCATTACTATCCCCAAGAAACTCCCGAAATAGATTTTTAAATTCCATACTCAGAAATGATGAGCTTTTAACAAAATAGAAGGTGAACTATTAAATGAAACTTTTTGGAAAATTAATGGAGTTTTGAACTTATAATTTGTAGTTTTGGAGGAATATTTTTTTGCATATGTTAACAAGAGAAAAATATGTCTTTCAAGAGAAAGCTTAAGAGGTTACTGGCTCATACTAATATAATATTAAATCATTCTTTCAATACTTATATGTTGACTTCACATGATGTACTATATATTATACATGATAATAGGACTCTTTCGACAAAGTCACAAGCATGGTAAGATGTGAGAAAATGTGTAATCCCAAACGCAAGAACTTGAGAAGTAGAGAGAAAAACCAAACAAGACAACAGTCAAGGGGTAGAGTAAGAAAGAGAACAGTATTAGTACACATCAGGAAGTGGTGATACACACACACACACACACACACACACACATACACACTCACAAATCCACACTAATAAAGGGAGGATAAAAATGAATAGAAGCTGATAAAGTATAGGGATGGTAAAAAGCACTTCACTGAGGCGTAGCAGTGAGGGAGACAGGGGTCAAACTATAGAGGGAGAAAGCTCAGGATATGATGGCACAAAGGAAGCGGTACAGAAAAATAAGCAGTCAAACAGACATGGTAATCAAATGGATACTGATTAGTAGGCCTAGCATTCAGAAATTGGCATAGAAAGAGGAGGATATCAAGGTGGGGACCAGCTGCCAAAGTGACTTTTTGTCCCAGGAAACAAAATCAAGAAAAAAAAATATTCTTTTGGAAACTAATATAAGTAAAAGAAAAGAAGGCATAGTCTCAAAGAAGCTTGAAGAGATAGCAGACTAAGGTAAATGTATTTATGAAAGAACACTAAAAATCAATTCATAAAGAAGATAATAACATAAAAATCTGATGAAGAAAAAATATCAAGGAATTAAGAGAGTACAGTTAAGAACGGTAGGTAGAAGGATAATGACAGAAAAGTTAAGATTTTTTTAACTAGGCAGTTGAGGAGTCACCAACAGTCTTCCCCGCAGCAAACCCCATCGGGTTTTCTCACACACACTGTCACTGGTGTGAGAAGAGAAGCTCAAGTGTGCAATGGTGACACATGTCACATGGGTATCCAACCACTGTCTCATTGAATTCAAGTCCTATTTTCACAGGAAGAGATGCATGCCTGATACTATAAATCTCGCTAACATCCTGAGGTTGGGGAGCTCACGAGGATGACCACTGTTCCTCTGAGGTACAAATGGGACATCTGCATCCCACACCACCCACCGCAGTGTCAGGGACAATCA